TGTAAAATAACTTTTAGTCCTTAATTCAACGATAGATAGCTATTGATTGCTACATAGACACAGCTTGACTTCTGGTGTTATGTTAAACTTACCAACTACAACATCCGGTACTTGGGGAAAAACATGGTCATAAATGTTTTCAACGCTGTCCTCTGTGTCGAAGACGCAGACGTTTGTTTCATTAGTCTTGTCTAAAAGTGAATATGCCATCAATAAGCCACCCGCACCTATAAATTGAGAGAATAGACTTTAAAAATTGAAGAGATTATCAAAAGAATTACTTATGCAATGTCTGACTTTCTATGAAAATATCAATACACTATCTGAAAACGTGACAGGGGTATTATCTGAATGTATTATCCTAATATGATGATAAATTCTCTTACTTCCTTAAAAAGAAATTTATGGCAAGTAGAAAAAATAGGGGGTTAAGAGACTTGAACAGTACACGTTTAAGATACTCAAGAGTAACGATCCCTTGCAGAATTTGATGCCAAACGGTGGTATCAAGTTCTCACCTGCTCCAACTATGGCTGTGTCGCACTCTAAAATATTTCTTTGGGGGTCCGTGGTCGGTGCTGCCGTTGTTGGCCCAGCAGTTGATGCAGCAGTAGCTATAACTGCAGCAGTAGTTGTTGGTTTTTCGGTGGTTGTTGGAGCAGTACTTGTTGGTTTTTCAGTGGTTGTTGGAGCAACAGTTGATGGTTTTTCGGTGGTTGTTAGAGCGGTAGTTGTTGGTTTTTCTGTGGTTGTTTTAGCAGCAGTTGATGGTTTTTCTGTGGTTGTTTTAGCAGCAATTGATGGTTTTTCCGCGGTTATTGGAGTGGCAATTGATGGTTTTTCTGTGGTTGTTAGAGCAGCAGTTGATGGTTTTTCGTCCGTTTCTTTGGTTGTGCCAGAAGATTCTGTTGGTGCTGTGGTGGACTCTTCAGCACCTGATGAAATAATCAAAAAAGTTAAAACATTTGTGTAACTTTGTTTTGTTTTGTTTTGCTTTTTTCTAGGAAAAATTGTAATAAAATAACTTTTCACTTTTTGCCCTCATTTCCAAGATAACTACAAATGACTCTGACGGCTAAAAATTTTAAGCGATGCAGTGTTTGACGCTTCATAGCATCGTCGAGTAACGTGACGAAATTGCGTAACATGACGACATAGCGTAACATCGTATGTACGAAATATGGACGCATACTTCGTCCATATTTCGTACATACTTCGCCCATACTTCGTCCGTACTTCGTCCATACTTCGCCCATACAGGCCTAAGTATGGATTTTTAAATCTAAGGGAAGGGGGGGGGAGGGGGGGGGAGGGAGAGGGGATTTGGCCTGTAGCCCCTAAAATGGAGTTGCAGTGGTGTTTGTAATTTCTATTTCTTATGATTGGTTTTTGACCAAGTGAAGTTGATGCTCTAGCTGTCGTAGCAAAGTTTGAATTTTCGCGAAATTTTTCATTCGAAATAAGTCGGGATAGACTGGGAGGAGTTTTAAACTGTAGAGCTACATTGATTCAAAATTCAGTTGTTGTAAGTATCGCATCACAATTATAACAATTTCGTTAAGTAGCAATTACTCAGACTGCTGGTCTCGAAACAATTTAAGATCGCTACACTATCACTACCACGAGAACGTAACTTTTAGCCCGCCCGGCTACTTGGTTAAGAGGCGTCTGAACGATATAAACCGGAATACCTAAACTTCATTGGGCCAATATCTTATTCCAAAGATATTACATAAAACGTCAAAATCTCCAAGTACCTCGATGTTTTCAGAGGTTATTGAGATTCGCACCAACAGGAAAAAGAGAATGTTATCTCGTATGTGGCATTCGGTTAAGTTGTCATTATTGCAACTATTTTCCAAAAGAAAAAAAAGAAAAAAAAGAACGCTTTAACAAATAAAAGTATACATTTGAAGGCTTAAAATCCAGTAACGTAGGGATAACTCTCATAGTTTTTCGTAGGGATGTAACGCATGGTAGCCCCTATCCTTCGGCATTTTCCATATTCGTTTCGAGACATCACTCTAAGATCCAAGTCCCTGTACTTAAGAATGATTAAAAATTTCCCCTTTCTAAAAGGTGACCGTTGCACTTCGGTAGTAGGGTAGTACTGCACGATTAATGTGAAATTCCGGGAGAAAGGAGGAGAACATGCTTTTGAAGAAAGTAAATGAGAAAAGGTAAATGAACTTAATTATACAGGTGAGGACCCTTTGTCGTACTTTTCACCACTTGCCTTCGGAGCGGGGTAGTATACACCATCATAACACCAAGGGCGCGTTTTTTGCCTTACCCAAAAATATTCGCACGAGACTCAAAATGATTTTATTCATATAAGAGTCAGAAAGGTCAATAAGCTCCATGCAGCCGACAGTTTATAAAAATAGATTCTTCTGTGAGTAGGGGGACCGTATATAGTGTTATACGGAAAGGATGCTGGGATGGTCGTTAAATTACATTCTAGTAGAAGAGGTACGACGCTTGTCTGTTACGTCCTGCAGCGCAGAAAGATTCTCGATAACATTTATGTATGTATTGTTAGATCTGTCTAAGGACGTTTTCTCAAAGCAGCTTATCAGTCTTATCATCGCTTTATGTCTAAAGTTAATATTATTTGAGGTGCTTCGAATTAAAATTTCAAATTCACAAAATTCATTATTTTTCTTGAGATTCAGTGCGATTCTTCTGTGAGTAGAGGGACCATATAGACAGAACCTGGTGTTACACAGAAAGGATGCTGGGATGGTCGGTGAATGACATTTCAGTAGAAGAGGTACTACGCTTGTCTGTTACGTCCCGCTGAGCAGAAAGATTGTCGATAACATTTATGTACGTATTGTTAGGTTTTCTCAAAGCAGCTTATTAGTCTTATCACCGCTTTATGTCTAAAGTAAATATTATTTGAGGTGCTTGGCATTAAAATTTCAAATTCACAAAATTCTTTCTGTTTCTTGAGATTCAGTGCAAGAAGAATGGCATTGTCATCAACAATGAAATCATATTTAAACAAATATGCTTGGGAAGTTTATCTTTACTGCTATTTTTATCGTCCCAAATGGTTCTGAAATACGAATTTCCCAGTGAAAATACGACAGGATTGACATCTTTTCTTTCGAGTTTGCTTAATACTTGTGCAATGTTTTGCTTCGGAGCAGTATACGACCTCCAATTCCGATCCAGTAATCTAGTATGCGATGCATGCTTGTAATCTTCATTCATTGACGGTAATATACAATATCCTTACATTTCTCTTTCTTGTCGAAGATCACTCATTGTCTTTACAAATCATCATAAAACCTGTTACCTACAGTTTTAGTTAATAAGTTTTAGAATATAACAGTTCGCATCTGTAACATTGAAACGTGACCACAATTTTAAAAACAATTTCCTGTGTCGTAGCTCTAATTAGATTTGGCGTTGAAAGTTCACATTTTTGATTCGATAATTGAATTCTCTGTACATTTCACTGTCATCTATGATCATTTGATAACGATTTATTTCAGATCAATAGAATGTCCTCATGCAACGCGCAATCAAATCGTCTCATGAGAAAGAACCAAAGCTAGATCAGTATACCTGTCTGTAAAGAAACGGAATTAAAGCCAAAATGAAATATGAATGAAAACTCAAAGGTCGGTTTCGTCAGCACCCGCCTGTGCTTTCAACAAAAAGTTTGACATGAAACAGCATTCCTTCGTGTCCACGTTACGTCAGCTCAAAGTCAACATATTTTATCTTCTTTCCTGTAGCACATTACCTCCCTTTTGAGTGAAAAATTTCAAGAAGAACAAACATCACGAACTATGTAACCGTTCTTTCTGTTTACCACATTTTAGTGGATCCGCTATGATGTAATGCACGCTGAATTTTCCGTCAACCAGTATTTCTTTAACAGAAGTCAGTTATGAATGGAAACTATTGAAAAGTTGTTAGTACAAGCTCGAGCGTACATCGAGTGCCTTTGTCATTTTCAAAAGGGTAAACTTATCAAAATGTTGAATGTTTTTCTCTCTCTCTTCAGACTCTATCAGTAAATTACTTCAAGTGAAGGGTTGCATTCTAGAATTTGTCGT